CTTTGTGCTTGACTCCTATGTATTGGAGCCCATTATGAGAAGATGGCCTAAGAAGGTCCTTATGTGATGATATTTGGTTGTCTGGTATGTACCGGTAGGAAATTCGGAGGCCGAAAGGTAGTCGAAAGTGCATTTTCGGCCACCACGGTAGTCCCGTTTCGAGTGGCACGAAACCTGGCACCGTAGTTGACTATTAGGAGCCCAGAGAGCTCACAATTACTAGTTTAACATAAGTATAAAGTGTTCCTGTTGACCGGGAGTGAGTATTGCATCTGTAGCACTCTATTGCACCTGTTGTGTGCACTGAACTTACCCTTCAAGACCGTCCTGAGTAGATCTCAGGCAGACTGACTAAGAGCCTTTCCTTACTGAGGGAAGGATTGAACAAGAGAACTCTGCCAAAAAGGCGGTCTAAACAAGGTTAACGATTATGAGAAATATGTGGGACAACCAGAAGATATCTGCTTCATCCAATACACCTCTGGCAGCACTGGGAATCCCAAAGGAGTCATGATCAATCATAACAACTTGGCTGAAACATGCAAAGGAGGTGTTTCTTTAACGGATTGTCTGGGACCCAATGAATTGGAAGTACTGTGGGTCCCTCAATACCATGGTAAGTTTCCAGCTACTGACTCGTTCCCATGCTTCTTTCTGTACCTCACCCCCCTCACTATCCAGACATGGGACTCGTGACTGGGTTTATGGGTGCTACATATTCCGGAACACCCCTTGTCATGGCTTCACTGTTGGATTTTATTGCCAACCCATTGCTGTGGACTGATATGGTTGAGAAATATCAGGCCACCATCACCTCAGCCCCCAACTTTGCTTATGCTTTGCTCCTCAAAAGATTGAAGCAGGTCAACAGGACAGCTGACTGGAGTTGTGTGAAGCGGGCCATGTTTGGAGGTGAACCAGCCCAGATCGAGCCATGTTGTGGAGGAAGTGTCAAAAATGCTTGCTATCAAACCTGAGCATATTTACAACATTTATGCATGGCTGAAATGGTTGTGCTCGTCACTGGTGGACCAGCAAAACCAGACTCGGAAGGCCTTGTCTGCTGTGGAGAAGTAAACTCGCCTACGCTCAAGCTTCGAATTGTCCAAGATGGGCAGGAGGTTGAGGATGGGCAAGTTGGAAGCATCTGGGCTCAATCACCACGTGTTGCTGTTGGTTATTATGGCCAGGCTGAGCTTACAAAGGCTACATTTGCCAATTCACTGCCAGGATATGAAGGCTCTTGGCTAGAAACTGGTGATTTGGGCAGATTGTTGATGGGCAAATGTACATCACTGGCAGAGTCAAAGATGTCATCATTGTGAATGGAAAGAACTATTACCCAACAGACGAAGAGCTATCCATTGATGAGGTTTTTGGGGATGTTATCCGTCCCGGAAGGACCTCAGCCTTTCAGCTTGGAGAGGACAGCATTGGTGTCACACTCGAGGCTCAAAATGGGTTTGACAAGTCAGCAAACAAAGATTTGGCCATCAAAGTATCCAACCATGTATCATGTGTTCATGGTTTGTTTGTCGGTGAAGTTGTAATTCTAAAGCTGGGTGTTACTCCAAAGACCACCTCGGGAAAGTTGAAGAGGAGTGAGATCAGGCAGAAAACCATAGCTGGTGACTGGAAGGAGTCTTCCGTGTTGCTACTGTCCAAGCGGCATTGCAACACTGTTCCTGTGAGAGGTCAAGCTGATGAAAATCTTGCCGCATTGCCTTGTGGAATTGCGCAAAACCAAACATATCAAGCAAGTGGCCTACCAGCAAGAACTGACAAAACTCTGACAAGCCACCAAGATTCCACTTTACCTAGTTGTGTAGTTGCATGTGGAGCTACAGACTCAGATTGCTTCTCCACAAGATATGCCAACACCATCACATCTGTCTTGGGTTCTGAAGTGGTAACATCAAAAACATGGGCTGAGAATGGACTTACATCTCTTAAGAGTGCTGAGCTCAGGAACAAGGTGGAAGAAACATTGCACGTAGTTCTCCCAGCAAACTTTGAACAGCTCTACACAACATCAACTGAACTCTCAGCCTTCCTGGAAGCATCAGAGAGCAAGAGCTTTGCAAAGCAGGACCTGTACAATAACCCTGACTTCCTAAGGAACTCATCAGGGTTCAGGCTCAGCAAACTTCAACTTGCTCTAGTCCAAACTGTTGGACTACTTGCCATTATTCTCTTGCTCTTTGCATCAGCTGTCCCTTCCTACTTCCTTGTCAACTGGGTCCTGGGCCACTCTGACACAAAGGAAAAAGAGGAGCGAGGTGGGCCAGTCTCTTGGGTACTCTTGCCTCTTGCCTTTCCTCTATTTATTCTGTCTTTCTCAGTGATTGTGGTACTCTGTAAGATTGTTGTTGTCAGGAAATATCAATCTCAACAATTTGAGCTCCTATCGTGGGACTATGTTTGCTAGTGGTTTCTGGACAGGCTCATTGATCTTTGGGAAGTCATAGTGGGTCAATTCGTTGTTGAGACCAAGTACATTTGGATTTTCTACAGGCTTCTTGGAGCAGACCTGGTGTGGTCTGCTAAGATAGAGTCATATATCCGTGAATTCGACCTTGTGAAAGTGGGCAACAACTCGAAAGTTGGGCAGCCGATAATCTACAGAAGGTTCTCTTACTCAGAGTCAGCTGAAAAAGCCCCAAGATGACATTCCACCCAGTTGTTATTGGAGAAAATTGCCATGTCGCTGGCATGATCAGTCCTGGGGCCAAAATTGGAGATGGTAGCAAGGTGGAAACACTATCTGTTATTGAAGAGGGAGTCATTGTACCTGAGGGTGTCCTTGCCAGAGGCAATCCAGCTTACAATGCTGGCCCATTCAAGCATCCAGAACCAACTCATGTGGAGGACTCCATGCTTGATGCCCTCAAGATTCTTTGGACGTTGTTTGAAGCATATCACTTCTTTGCAATTTCCTATTTGGTCCATCTCTTACTCAACAATGTCTTGCCCGCTTGGCAATATTCCACCATTCTGCACTGGTTTGTGTGGTATCCTGTTGCTTCTTTCCTTGCTCTTGTCACAAGCATATTACTCAAATGGGTTTTGATTGGGAAGCGTGATCCATCCGATGCACATGAAGATTCATTGTACCGCCGGGCAACCAACTGGGCTTGTGACTTCCACTTTCGTATTGCCTCTTGGGCCCTCACGATTGTCTTTGGGCATTCCAAGATCTCAAACCTCATCCCCTTTCTCCATGGCCTTGATGTTGACTTTGTGTCAGAGCTCCACTTCAAACCTCAATCTAGCTTGTTCTCCCCTTCCAAGGTTGACTACATCAAGATCCGGAAATCATTTCTCCCCAATATATCCCTTGATCTCAGCAGCAAGAAAGCTGTCTCCAAGGTTGAGATCATCAACAGCAGTGTTGGCTACAATGTCCATCTTCATGCCGGAGTCACGATAATGGGATCCATGATCCCACCAAGATCTACTGTGTCAGAAAGCATTTATGATTTGAATGCAGCTGGACAGGCATTCAAGCCCAAATTGACAGGCCTGCTCCTCATTGAGGGAACACAGCAGTTGATGAATGTGGTTGTGTTTGTCTCTCTTATTCCCGCCTATGAGATTGGTCTTATGGCCACCAAGAGCTCCTCACTGCTTATTGTTGGAATGGGGTTGGCTGCAACTTTCATAATGCAGCTACTTGTATGGCTTCTCATGGCCGGGGTAGTTGAAAGTGTACTGTTGACTTCACCCCACAGTCTCCAGCAGGTTCTCTAAGCAGTATACATCAGCAACGTGTGGTTCTTCCGTTGCCGCAACTGGCTTGTTTTCCTTCTCTATGGAACTCCCATGTTTGCCTTCTATGTCAGAATGATGGGTTCTGAAGTGGATGGCAACCTCTGGTACTTTGGCAGCACTCTCTATGAATACAGGAAACTCCATTTCCAAGAGTGCACCATTGTGGACAGTTCCTATGTGATGGCTCACTATGTTGACAGGAATGGGGTTACAATAGATGACACTTATGTGTCTGGCATTCTTCACCCTGGTTGTTATGCTTCTGCTGGAGCAGTGGTGCATGGTCCAGAAAGTTGTCCAATGAAGGTTCTCCTCAGACCTGGTGTGGGTACTAAGTGTCAGTTCCAGGATGCCATGGCACCCAGTACGAAAAAGAAAGGGGGCCACGTCGTAGCGGATGAGGAGTCTTGTTTGCTTGATATCTAGTAGCCATAGTTATGTCCAAAACTATCTAGGCATTCAAAGCTTTAACAGTACGTGCGCTCTTGCCTTGGTCCTGATCATTGTCGTAGTGGCAGCCGTGCTCTCGATGACATTGTCTGGGGAGGAGAATGCACACGACGCAAGCTCCTTCCGTCATCACGACCACACCCAAGGAGATCTCCCCCCTACAATCCTTGCTTCCCAATGAGACAAGACTGGCCATCCAAACAGATACCGACATTCTCCAAGCCAAAGCGTCGTACGAGTGGCTTTTGGAGGATATCGCCCAACTCCAACTACCCGTACAACGATGTGCCTTGGTCACCATGCCACCTACGCCCCACAGTACGCCTTCCGAGCACACGCATTGGCTGTACGCGAATGCAACTACTTTTTCGCACCCTACTTTCGAGACTGAGTCAGTTCTACAGGCGGCAGTCTTCGAACGACGCCTGTGATTTGGTGGAGGAGGGGGAATTGTTGGACCTGCATTAGGATGGATTCAATTCGTTCAAAATCTTTGGCTGCGCCAAAACAATTGGGTGGCAGCGCAGGGGCTGCCGCTAGTAGGAATGGGCTTAATGTTTGACCCGTCTATGAAGCATCAATTTCGGTATCAACCTCATTGGGACTATCTGGACTGGAATTCGCAACTTGCTCCAGTTGGAAATGCTCAAGTCCAGGGAACCTTTCCAGTCGAGGTGATGATGAACCATTACCGTGGGACACAATCGCCTAGATCACGGGAACGGGACGCCCCACACAACAAGCTCTCTCCACAAGTGTCCCTCACAGTCGTTTTTAGTTTCCCACCGAAGCTGTTCGTCTCTCCAGTGTGCGATACTTGCATTGCAATGGCATGGCAATGGATGCCCAAGCACTGGCCGGCACGGGACGGTACCGATAGAATTTGGGTGACTCTCGTGGTTGGAACTGTTCAATTTGGAAGCAACACAATTTGAGAGGAACGGTACGAAGATCAAACACGTTGACGTTTTCGTGGTCCTCTTTCCCAAAGAATGTTTCAGAGCTCATGTTTTCAGATTTGCAGAAACTTTTGTTGGTCATCCAAACAGGGCTATTGGCCCAATGCATTTAGCATCCGTCTCTCCGGACGAGTTCGATGAGTTGGATGCCCTGGTCCAAGAATACACATTTCGAGCAGCAACCTCAAGTTGGCACAAACTGGCTGTAATCTCGTTGACTGTCCTTATGTCCTCAAGACTACATGAAGCATAAAGTCATTATTTTTTGTAAATAATGAGCTAAATAATAGCTAAGTAATACTCCTCGAGTATGGCCACAATTGTCCCACTGAAAGGGCTTGAGAACTCTTCTTTAAATAACTGCTTGCAAAAGACGCGATTGATTCGAATCCTTCAGTTTCGGCCTTAGAGTTGATGAGCTTTATTTAGACGTCAAAAGAGCTGCAAGAGGAGATTCGAGGGTGTCGTCGATGGCTATTGGATGCAGGTTTTACTTAACCTTCAGAGCACTCATTACTAAATCGTTTGGATCAGCCGTACTTTACTAGAGTCCACTGATATTCTCTGCGTTCAAACTTCAACAATGACGAGACATAACGATTTAATGAAACCAGTCTTTTTAGCTTCTTTTTCCTGCCAGGTGTTCCCTATTTCCCACCGAGATTCCATCTCCTCCAACTCTCCCAAAACCCAAGGAAACCGAAAACAGCAGCCAAAGCAATAGTCCCAGCGAAAGCCCCTCAGTCAGCTAGCTAGCTAGCTAGGAACCTCATTATTTTTCGCAGCTGTGGAATAGCTGCATGGTCGATTCGACTCGACTCGTTAAAACGACACTTGCGTGTACAATCGCCACCATGTCGTCCAGCAGCAAGGACAACAAGGATCTCGGAGGGATCCCACCAGGGTTCATCCATGATGACGAAAGTTCTACTCGTTGTGAGTTCGATCATGTGACTGTTGGCGCCATTGCCGCCATGGTTTCTTCTCTAGCCGATGATACGGATCTCGAGGTGGGAAAACTCAAAATGGAAGAGGAAGATACTGCTGAGACCATTCAGCTCGTAGTACTCAAAGAGCAAGGTGGCTCACCAAGGGACCCTGTTGACACAGACAACACCACGACTATTTCTGTTCCCAGTCAAGTTCTCACAGAGCTCAATGCAGCTCCAGCTGCTGAACTACCAACGCAAATTCCTGACCTGAACAGACAAACAGGCGTAGCACAAGTTTTCCCAGGTGCTATTGCGGTGGAGGGGCCAGGCTCTTGGTCTCGTCGGGGTGGTAACAACAACAATGACAGCCTAGCTGATGAGAATACTATCGAAAGCCAGGACATTGCAAGTCGGGAAAACAGCCGTGAGGGCGACATTATTGCGCATCTGGTCCACGAGGACGATGGGCTACTCCAAAATGCAGTACCGGATATGCGGTTCCACCGAATCAGAAAGTATTGGAGACGAAAGCTATACTTCGCCCTGTCTATACAGACGATTGTGGGTATGGCAGCGGTGGCAATCATTCTGGCAGTATTCTTGGCAATCCGAACAAGAAACAGCAGTGAATGGATACGGCAACACCAAAATGGGTGGATGAAAAGTCCATCCGCTGCTGGTGACGTAGAAACCCCGGCACCCACAAGTTTGCTGCATGTTCTTGCTCTACCTGACTCTACACAGAGAGCCATGCTAGACCGTGAGTCTCCGCAAGCCAGGGCCTATGAATGGCTCATGAGTGATACCAGCATTCATGTCCTACCAGAATGGAAGTTACGACAACTGTTTGTGCTGGTCACCTTTTACTATTCAACCAAGGGTGACTACTGGGTCAAGAAGCATTGCTGGTTGGATTGGAAGACAAATGACTGTCATTGGGAGCAAGTCCCCACCGCGTTCAAGGCAATAGATTCGCCAGACCTCCATTGCAGTGACAGGGAACTCATCACATCGCTTGACTTTTCCACCAACAATTTGGAGGGAACTATACCTCCAGAGATATCACTGCTGAGCACTGGACTGCAGCATTTTGCGCTTCGGCAGAATTTGGGAGTATCCGGGGTGCTTCCAACAGAGCTTGGTCTGCTCACAAAGTTGACCAGCCTCATGCTTTTTGCTACTAGCCTTTCTGGCTCACTGCCAACAGAGCTGGGTCGACTGGAAAGCCTGATAGAACTCACAATTGGGTCCAACAAAATGATCACTGGACCCCTCCCTACCGAAATTGGCAATTTGTGCCACCTCACAAAGCTTGAACTGACCTCCACAGATTTTTCAGGTGCGTGCATACAGTCAGTACAGATCTCACGACGCAGGGCCTTGTATTGTAATAAATGCTAACCACGTGCATTCGGCTCTCTTGTTGCACAGGCTCCTTTCCCAGTGAAATCTACCAGTTGCCAAATTTGAAACAATTGACAATCAGAGACTGCCCAGGATTGATCACTGAACCTCTTCTTCAAAACATTTGTGACAACATGCCCCAGTTGGAACTCCTTTCGCTATCTTGCGAGCAATGCAGTGTGAAGGCTCCTATCACCAGTAAGGCAGTGCACCTAACTTCAGTTGAGTAAAAAGGATGAACCTAACTTGTGTTCACTATGTTATTCTTCACAGGTGCCATTGACAAACTGACTAATTTGTCGTTGTTCTCGTTGAGTATCAATAGTCTCATTGGGACAATACCGAGTGAGCTGGGAAAGTTGACCAAAATAGTATGAATGCTTCATGTTGGCAGCAATCCTGTGCTTTCATCAATCAATTCCTAACAATGTCGTCTTCTTGCTGACAGACCGCATTGGGCATGCATTCATCTTCCATCTCTGGAACTGTACCAACTGTGCTGGCCAAAGTGTCCCGTAAGTTCTGCTCGGCAAGATTGGTTATTGCCTGTGTGTGGTGCTTCTGAACTAACTATCTTGATGGTGCCTTGCAGATTTGAAATACATCAACTTCCGATCCAACCATTTGGTGGGGACACTCTCTCCGGGCCTTTTCTCACATCTCACTGAGTTGAGAGGTGTATCTATCGATGACAAACCATTTGGAAGGCACACTACCAACTGGTCTCTTTTCCCAGCTCAGACACTTGCAGAATTGGCAAAGCAGCTCCAATCTGTTCTCGGGTTCAATACCGACTGAGGTTGGTTTATTGGCGGATCTCAGGCGGTTAGAACTCGAGAACAACACCCAACTATTTGGCACTCTTCCCAGAGAGCTCGTAGCATTGAGAGACTTGACTAGCTTGGTTGTCAAGAACACATCCTTGGCAGGCAGCATTCCTGAGCAACTGTGCAGCAAGATGTACAAAGATCATTGGATAACTACAGCTCAGGGCTTGCTTTCTGTCAAAGTCAATGCTCCTCCCTGTGAAGGGACTTTGCTCTGTGGGTGTGACTGTGCCCTCTGTCCAGTGAACTAACCTTGAAAGCTGTGGCACAGAAGCTGAAGGCAACACTGAAGCCTTGCAAAAGGGCAACATATTGCCCTGTCAGGGCTATAGCTTGCAGGGATGTGCTTTTTTTACTGGGAGGGCTGGACTAAGAAGTTGCAGAATGGATGCCGCGGGGGTGTGGGTGTGGAGAAAGACACCAAGCGCTGGCTAGAATGGGGGATGGTTGTCTTGGGAACCCTAGATCTACCGGTACGAGCATCTAGCTAGCTAGTGATAGGTCGGCATTGTAAAGCTACAAAGTTGCAGGCTAGACTAGCTAGTTGGAGACCGACTGTAGTAGGGACGTGAAAATAATGGTAGAAAGCGCCACCACTGCGCCATCTATCAACAATCTCCTGCTTCCTGACTTTATTCCTTGCCCTTCCGTTGAACATTGGCACGTGGTTTCATTCCCTGCATCAGCTGCAGTGATTGGTGCATCATGGTCAAAAATGTTACCGTCGGAATGGCCCGTGACATTCAGAATTATCGCAGGCGGTGCTGTTTGGTTGCTGGGATCTCCACCTATGATGGCTGTTCCATTTCCATTCGTCTGTGTAAAATTGCGTAGTATGCATCGAGGACAAGCAAGCTTTGGCCATAGAGTCCTCTGAAGCAAACAAGCAGACAAGCAAAAAGTTAGTGATGAGGCAAATTGGCTTGATCAAAAATGGGAATGACTTGGTGAACCAAAGAGCAGTCTTGATACACCCATAGAAAAGAGAGGTGGATCAAGACAGACAGACAAACAATGGGCTCTACGAGTCAAGGTTGGATGACCCTCAAGGAAGATAACTGGCTGGATCAACAAGCGGCTTGACCAGCTACTTCCAACATCCAACAGGACGTACGTCCCAAAGGACAATACTGCGCTTTGCGCTTGTACTTTCCCGTACTCGCCAAGTAATCCAAATCTGTGCAGTTCTGGATGAAGGATGTGGTATCATTGTTGCACACGGGAATCCCCTCCCAGTCGAACTGATGGGTGTCAAGAGGACACCAGACCCCCCGGAACCAGTCTCGGGCATCTCCTGTTTCATTGAACAACGTCGGGACATCTACACATTTGACCTCTAGGAAGAGTTCGCAGATGGTACCACCCCGACTCTGTCCCCTCGGGTAAGGGAGACGAAAGTTGTCGCGGATTCGGGCTACAGAGCCAGTCACGTTGGGTAAGAAACTATCGGTAAATGGGGAAGAAGAGGTTGTCATTTTGATAAGCTAGCTAGCTACTATATATATATAGATAGCACTTGGATTGTTTGATTGACATCTTCGATCATTGTGGTTCCTCAAGTCTGGATCTGCTCGTCGGGATCCAGTTCTATTGTCGATCCCGATCGAGATGGCCTTGAGGTGCGGTGATGTTTCAGTCGTGGAAGGGCCAAAAGCAGCTTCCACGGTCGACCTCCACTCTCTTGATGTTGTTGGTCAATGAGCTAGCTAGAACAACATTGACTAATTACAATACTATAGACCACTCTGATCCAACAACTACAACATGCCGAGGCCAAAAAAAAAAAAACTGAACGTCTAATAACGGATTCAGATGAGATTTGCTTGAGGACTACCCACGAGCTAAGGCTCGGGTATTTCCCACAGTCAAGTCTGCTCACCGACCACACTGGCCTCCTGAGAGGGTGCGACGCCTGATGCCGAGGCCAATGACAGCACACAGCAGCTCGATCTAGAAGTAGCCGCGGCAGACAGATTCGATTCTATCAACGTTCTCGGATTCTATTCTATTGTATTCTATTCAATCCGGCAACCGCAGCACTGGTATCTCCTTCGGAGCACATCTATCTGCACATTAGTGTTACAGTATTGGATTATGTATCATCGCGCACTATGGTACTGTACCGTACGGTATGATCTTTGCTGGCATGGAATAATTATAAAAGTAGGTACCGTAATGGAAGCAGCAAACACCATCCTGTGCCGTACGGTAGGGTACGCCACTTTGTACAATACCGCGGATCCGATCGGAGATCTCCTCATTCTTCATTCCGCTTCCAACACACCAGAGCAATGATAAAGGTCACCTACAGTTAGTTGGTTACTACTAGCTAGTAGCTACTAGCTAGTAGAGCTACACAAGTGCATTGCTCCTGTTTTCGCTTTTTTCGCTTCCCGACACCTCCAAGTCGACCGCAGGCACAGTTAGCATGAACCCTACTACGGTAGTACATTTCTATTGGTGTAAAACCTATTTTTTATGATGACTCTTTCCGAAGGATGCTCCTTTTCGACTTATTGAATGCCAGTCTCAATGACAACGTGACTAAACCTTGTAAGAATATCTAGTGAAAGGCTTAACGGAGACAGTCATCGGAATGCGCTGCTCCTTGACCATTGAGCTGTGCACGGAGCGAGGGAGCGCAAAACACACATGCAGAGACAACATTTGTATTTGTGCTGTTCTCATTACATGTAGTCCATGTTGGTTTCTTGGACCATCTACCTACAAGAGTATTACCTTTGTATCTTCAATCTATCTATCAATCGATCCACAATCGTAACAAGACAAGATGGTAATAGCAGCATCAGTAGTGAACGTGGACGAGTTGAGCGGGATGAGCAGCAGCAGCTCATCGAGCAGTGGTTTGGGCAGCAGTGCCAGCTTTCACCTACCCAAGGATTTTCGAACGAGTGGGGTTGGCGCCAGCGCAAACCACAACGATAGCATGGCGTTGGAAGAGATTGTGTCCGACTTGTATCCTCTCGGCAGTCCGGATCGCAAACCGAGTACTGCCACTGCGGCCGTCTTGGAAGCTTCCTTGTCGGCGTTGGATCATACTAATCCTAATCCTACTCGTACTAGTAGTGCTGGTCGAGCGGGTGTCAGCAACAGCCGCACGAGTACGGGTGTGCGCAGCAGCAGTGCATCAACGGCTGTCTACAGCAATGGCTATCATCAGCATAATCATAATCAGCATAATAATGGCCGCCACCATCGACGATCGGGCAATCCCAGTGTGGAACAGTATCCGGAGGATGAACTCGTGGTCAATAATTTTGACAGAACCAAAAATGCATCGCGTTTGGAACGGTTCCAATTGGCGCATCATCGATCGGGCCTTGGCGAATCGCAAATAGCGACCCGCAATTTGACAGGTCTCGATATGAGTCGTCATCGCGCCCACGAACAGACCAAAGCCAAAGTCGTGCGGGCCGCACAAGTCTTGGGCTGTATTACCTGTCTCTTAATTGTGACGGCCATTACGTTGGCCATTGCCATTCCACTGCGCAATAATTCGCAAAGCAAAGCGGGAATGGATGACACTGCTGTCGCTGGCGCCGCCAATAATGGAAACAATCTCTTGATCTATGACAGCAATGGAACGCTCCTGTCGTCCAATGGTACTACTGCAGAGCAACAACAACAAGATGCATCCACTACCAATGAAAAGGACAACCAATTGTGGTTTTCCGGATACAACGCGACGAATGTGCGTCTCCAGAGCACCGTGCGGTCCAATTATACGCAAGTAGCACTGGTGACACGATCGGCCACGGGTGCCATTTTGCAATTGGGCGAACCCATTACGGGCGCCCATTCCGTGACACTCTCGCGCGATGGCAATCGATTTGCCGTCTTGGCGACGCAAGGACCACAACAACGAGATTTTCTCGAAGTTTGGGAATGGCAAACACCACCGCCTCCCACAACGTCTCCCACAAGCAGCACTAGTACGAGCAGCAGCAGCAATACCACCAACACGAATACGACGACCACGTCCTTTCCGTGGTCTTGGCAACAAATGGGATTTGGCATTTCCGTTGGAGGATCTTCCTCTTCTTCTGCTGCGACTACTACGACTACTACTACTAGTCCTTCGACGACGACCGCTTTGGCACGCAATGGATATCTCATTGCCGGACACGAACGTGTCTTTTACTGGAATCAATCCAAGACAACAAACACGGAAGAATGCACTACTACTACTACCACTACGACAGCTACGACTTCTCGAAGTGCCGCTCAATGTAACGAAGGCAACAACTGGCAGTTGCAAGGAGGAACTGTAGTGGATACTACCAATGCGAATCAACCATGGGCCAGTGTCGCGTTGAATGCCGATGGCACTCGTCTCGTCGCTGTGGGTGCCAACGATCATGTCGTGCGCGTCTACCAGTTTTCATCGACTCGTCGGTGGGAACCCCTAGGAGATCCGTTGCGACTGCAAGATGGACAAGGGTTACCCCTCCAACCCGCCCAATGCGATGTCAGCATGTCCGCCACAGGCGATCGGATTGCCATTGGAACGCGACAACGCGATACGGCCGGGTACGTGCACGTCTTTAAGTGGCAAGGTAGCGAGTGGATGCCCATGGGATCCAATTTTTGGGCCGCCACCGTGGCATTGTCGGCCAGTGGAAATCGGGTCGTGTTGGGAGGACCTCAAGCGGCCGTTACGGTCTACGATTGGACGGGGGGGAGTAGTAATAGTACGAATGAGAATGACGACGACAAGTGGGTTCAGGTGGGATCCACATTGTACGGTCGGAAGGAAGACGATGTCTTTGGATACAGTGTTGCTACGACCGACGATGGGACCAAGTTTGTGGTGGGAAGTCTCGAACAATCATCCTCCGAGTCAGCAACGGGATATGTCCGCGTCTACACGTGGTCCGACGGACTCGCCGATTGGGAACAAGTAGGAGGCGATGTCAATGGCGTTCCGGGAATCGACGATGGATTCGGGTCTCGGGTCGATATTGCCAAATTCAATGGAAATCGTATTGCTGTCAGTACGCACAAACAAACGAGTGCTGGAGGCGCCACTACTACTACTAGCGCCAATACCAAGGTGTTTGCTGTCATTGCCAAACCCACCCTGGTCATGGGGAATCGGTAATGCAATTTTATTTTAAAAATGTGTGTATTATTATTATTTATTATTCTACTTGCCACCTGGTGACATGTATGTATGCGAGTATGCGAGACCAATAGGTTTGTCAGGCACCCTCATTATTTCATGGTTGCTGACTGCCTGGGTCATTGGGTACGGTAAGGAGGTTGAATACGACACAGGACTAGAGTACTAGCTAGTAACCGTATTGGATTTATCAGCCGGTTTCGAGATCGGCTGATAACGGTTAACTCAGTCCTGCACCACGTCTTTACCCAACGACCCTGGATGACTCGACTGAGCACTCGACGGGATCGAGCTGCTCATGCACTCGTTCTGCATGTTGGGTTTTGTTGGTTTATCTTTCTTGATGACGGCGAGGGAAGAATCGAATCCATCGCATAGCCTTTGTCGATCACACATCAACACACGAACAGCAATGGGTGTAAACACAACACGCAGCCTTCGTAATAGAAGGATGCATGCAGGCTATACCGGGACACCAGCTCTACAGCTACAGTAGCTAGCTATAGAGGGTAGAGGGTCCACCACTAGATCGAGCCAACAATATCGATGGAAACTGACGATTGGATCAGTTAGTTTATGATGTGCCCTGCAGTACAGCTGTAATCCGCTGCCTTTAGCTTTCCGGAGTTTTCTTCAGGCGCAGCTACGATTTATTTAACCATTCCTTTTCTCAATTGTTATACGTCGACTTCCTTATTGTTCTCGTATGGTGATGGTTGTGAAGTTTTTTCGGCCGGGTTCGATAAATCATTCAGTTCCATGCAGCGATGAGTCAACATCAAATCTGGTCATGATTATGCAGCCAGAATGATCGATCGACACAGTATCATAAAACCAAACCTCCATCAGCTAGAGTCAAAACCATCAATCGTCCTTCCAGCATCGACCCTATTGGTAGAAGCAGCAACAGCAACAGCAGCAACAACAACAACAGCAGCAACAGCAACAGCAACAGAAGCAACAATGAAGTTCTATTCCACCATCCTTGATGCCCTCAGCCACCATGCCTTAGAGACACCCAACAAGGTTGTCTTCACCTGGGTTGACATCAAGTGCAAGGAACAGGACAAGATGACATTCAAACAAGTAGAAGAACGATCAAATGCAGTGGCTGCTCGACTCCTGAAGCTTGGATGCCAAAAGGGTGACCGTGTCATGGTGGCCTATCCCTTTGGCCTGGAGTTCTTGGCTGGCATGATTGGTGCCATGAAGATTGGAGTTGTCCCCTGCTCCATTTATCCACCCAACCCCAATCAGCTCAAAACAGATATGCCAAAGCTCCGCAGATTTGCAGTGGATGCCGGGGCCAAGTATGCCCTATCCACCAGTGCCTTCGCCACTGCCATGACTGCAGCCAGCATCCTCTACAAGACTGGTGTCACTTGGATTGGAACTGACAAACTACAAATCAAGAAGAGAAACTTCAGTAGCAAGCCCAAAGGATATGAGACCTTTCTGGGAGAATCAAATGGAGTCTGCTTTATTCAGTACACTTCTGGTAGTACGGGCCGACCTAAAGGAGTCATGGTCAGTCACAGCAACCTAGTAGAAAACTTTTTTGGAATTGATGCCATGTCAGATACAACTGCAAACATGGATCCTACAGTGGGGGTCCTATGGGTCCCACAATACCATGGTAAGCTCAAATCTGTTGGTCTCTATCCTGGGGCATTCCAAAGTTGCAATCCTCTAAATTTTGGCACATGTCTTCTTTCTTTGAACAGACATGGGGCTTGTAGCTGGATTCATGTCTTCTCTCTATGCTGGGACTTCCCTTGTCATGGCATCCCCTTTGGATTTTGTTGCCAATCCTCTACTCTGGAGTGACATGGTAGAGACCTACAAGGCCACCCTTACTTGTGCCCCGAACTTTGCCTATGCCTTGCTCCTCAAACGCTTAGAGCAGGCCAATAGGACTGCCAACTGAAGTTGTGTAAAGCGTGCCATGTTTGGGGGCGAACCAGCCCAAAGCCATGTTGTGGAAGCAGCAGCAAAGACCCTCTCCATCAAACCTGAGCATGTGTACAACATCTATGGACTTGCTGAGTCTGTGGTCTTCCTCACTGGTGGCTCTGCGTACCCTGACTCTGAGGGGCTTGTCTGCTGTGGAGAAGTAGACTCCCCAACCCTCAAGCTCCGAATTGTCCAGGATGGAAACGAGGTTGAGGATGGACAGGTTGGGAGTATCTGGGCTCAATCACCCCGTGTAGCTGCTGGCTACTATGGCCAACCTGAGCTCACTACCTCTACCTTTGCCAATGCTTTGCCCAAATATGATCGGACCTGGCTTGACACTGGAGATTTGGGCAAGGTTGTGGATGGACAGCTTTATGTCACTGGAAGAGTCAAAGATGTCATCATTATCAATGGAAAGAACTGCTATCCAACTGATGTGGAGCTCTCTATTGATGCTGCCTTTGGTGATGTTATACGTCCAGGCAGGACCACAGCCTTCCAGCATGGGGAAGACAGTGTTGGAATCAGTGTCGAAGGCCGCAAAGGTTTTGATAAGTCTGGAAATGAAGATTTGGCGGTCAAGATAGCCAACCATGTTTCACAATTCCTTGGGCTGTTTGCCTCAGAGGTTGTTGTCCTCAAGCTTGGTGTGACACCCAAGACCACATCTGGCAAGCTGAAGAGGAATGAGATCAGGCAGACCACTATTGATGGTAATTGGAAGGAGTCCTCTGTTCTGCTCAGATTCCAACGACAGACAAACATATCAGCTTTCCAGGCAACTGAATCACCTTTTAAGAATAGCTCTTGGCTTGAGTACAGCTTTGCAATGAACGGGGTTACAAGCAGTGAGTTCTATTTGTCAGAAGGAACTCAACGTGAAATCAGCAGGAAATCAATGACATTACCATCTGGATCTCTTGATCTTGGCAGTCTGCATGAGCTTGATCTTCCGGAGATTGACCTTAGCAAAACAAACATACTCCCCAGCAAAGCTGTTGAAGCTGTTCATGCTGTAGAGTGTGACCCCAACAAGTTGGACAAATATTTCTCAGAGCTTCATCTTACAGGGGTCTCTGGCATTGGTGAAGCTTGGGCCAAAGCCATCAAGACAACAGCTGCAATGCAAGCCATGTGCTCCCAAATACTGAAGCATGTCGAGGACAAGCACCCAACCATCTGCCAGCTTGCTCACAGTCTCGTTGTGAATCCAGACTGGCTTCTGATTGATGACAGGGCAGGTTTCCTTTCTCAACTTGTGCATCACATCTTTGTCCTTCAATGGGCGACAACCTTTATGATGGATAATCCTGAGTGCATTAAGCAGAAGATGAATGATGATGCCGCATGGGAATCACACAGCCAGAATCTTCAGGATCTTCCAGTGGAGCTACAAGAGATTCTGAACCTTCCAGAACAAGACTCGATGTATGGGAAGTTGCCATTCTTCCTTTGGATCAAGAACAGGTCAGTTGCTGCACTGCTGAACCTTGTCCAACAAAGTTTGGGATCACCTGAAGGCCCAACCATTAATGCACCGGTCGAAAGAATCAATATCCTCCTGTGTTTAAACATGTTAGAGGCTATTTGGGTTGAGCAAAAGAATGGTAACAAAGAAAACTCAGAAGTTGGTAGGAGACTTGCTACAAATCTTGTTACAACAGCCACTACTGAATCAAAAAAGGTTTTGATAGAGCTTTCATCCAATGCAAGTGCTGCGAATATGCTCTACATTGATTGGAATATGCATGTTGTTGCCTGTAAGTGCCCCCCCCTAACAATACAATTCCATCTTGGGAAGTTCTGGTAAATCTCACTGTTATGATATCTTGTTGATTCTTACCTTCAGGGGTCGGAGACAGAAATTCTTCCAGCTGGATGGTGTCCAAATTGCTGCTTCCTTGCATCATCGGAGATGTCGGTGCAACTTTCTTTCATGCAAGGATAACTAGCTTGTACCTGATTGTGCAGACCATCGGAAGGAAACTAGGTTTGACCAAGTTTGAGAATGAACCAATCCTATCAAGAGACGCTCTGATATATTTTGGGAAGCTGAACCTCTCCTGTGCCGAAAAGTTTGGATACATCTCACCTGCACCAGAGAGCAAAGATCAGCTTACTCTTGATGAAGGCTACTGGCTGTCCAAGTTTGATCAGTGGGGGTTGGCAAATCATCCAGCCAAGGCAATCACTGCAGCCTCCAGGCTGCATGATATTAGACTTGCTGAAGCTGTGGGCCCAAATGACTTCTCCACCAGATATGGGAACACCATCATATCTGTCTTTGGTCATGCAGTTGAAACATCAAAATCATGGGCTGAGAATGGACTCACATCACTCACGAGTGCTGAGCTGAGGAACCGAGTGGAGGAGGAATTGCATATTGTGTTACCAGTGAACTTTGAGCAACTTTGTGCAACCCCAAAAGATCTGTACGAGTTTCTGGTCGCATCTGAGAGGAAGAGGTTTCCCATGCAAACCATCGATGATCACCCAGGCTTTCAATGGAATTCATCCAGATCCAGGATGAGCAAGTTACAGCTTGGAGTTATCCAATCCATTGGATCAGCTCTGATTCTTCTCTTAGTCTTGATCTCAGCAGTTCCGTCCTACTTCCTAGTATCTTGGGTACTGGACCAATGTGACTCGCCTGAAGATGGAGATTGCCTCGGCCCAGTATTTTGGGCCCTTATGCCCCTGACCTTTCCTCTCTTCATCCTATCCTTCTCAATGATTGTGGTTTTATGCAAGGTTGTTGTTGTTGGGAAGTACCTTCCAAGACAATTTGAGCTCTTATCCTGGGATTATATCCGATGGTGGTTTGTTGACAGGATTCTTGACGTTTGGGAATACCTTGCAGGACATCTTGTTCTAGGAACCAAATACATTTGGATCTTCTACTGGATTCTTGGTGCTGACCTGGCATGGTCTGCCAAGATCGAGTCCTATATCCGTGAATTTGACCTTGTGAAGGTGGGGAGCAACACAAGTATCGGTCACCCTCTAAAGTGCAGAACATTCTCTTGGTCAACAGAAGACAGTCCAAGGATCACTTTCTGGCCAATTGTGGTTGGAAATGACAGCCAAATCTCTGGTATGGTGAGCCCACGGGCCACAATTGGGGATGGCAGCAAGGTAGCAAAGCTTTCAGCTGTTGAAGAGGGTGCAATGGTATCTGATGGCGTCCTTGCCAAGGGCAACCCGGCATGCCATGCTGGATCATATATTCATCACGAATCAAGCTGTTTTGAGGAGTCCATTTTGGATGTCTTCAAGATGGTTTGGATCATGTTTGAGTCATACCATCGTTTTACACTTGCCTTTGTTGTTAGCATTGTGCTTCATCAAATCTTGCCCTCATGGCGGTATGGAGGTCTTTTTTATTGGATCCTGTTGTTGCCATTCACTTCCATCCTGGCACTTTGCTCCAGTTTGGCCTTCAAGTGGCTTCTGATTGGAAAACGGAACCCATCAGACGAGTACGAGGGCTCACTCTACCGCCGGGCAACCAACTGGGCATGTGACTTCCACTTCCATGCATCTGGGTTTGCTCTTGCTCCTTTCTGTGGTGCATCAAAAGTCTGGAACCTCATCTTCTTCCTCCATGGCCTTGACATTGACTTGGAATCATCCATAAATGGGCTCTATGTACACTTCCAACCATCAAAGGTTGATTTTGTGAAGATCCAAAAGTCTTTTGCCTCAGCCATCTCTCTAGACTTGAGCAAGCAACAAGGTGGCAAGATTGAGATCATCAACAGCAGTATTGGTTACAATTCCAATCTTCATTCGGGTGTCAAGATTATGCAATCGGTAATTCCTTCAAGGTCAGATGTGTCTGAAAGTGTTTATGACTTGAACCAATCAAACCATGATGTGTCCAAGCCTAGTAGCAGTACCGCACTACACGAACTGCTGCAGGCTTTGTTGAATGTGATTCTTTTTGCCTCCATCATACCTTCTTACGAGATTGGCCTTGCGGCTACAACCAGTTCATCATCTGGCATTGCTGCGCTTGGGTTGGTCGCAGCTTTTGTACTACAGTGGTTTATTTGGATACTCTTGACAAGAGCTGTTAAGGGCATACTATACAAGTTGCCAAAGCACACCCACATCAGCTTTTTTGGAGTATACATCAATGCTGTATGGGTCTTTCGTGTTGGCAATTTGTTGGAGAAGGTCCTGTACGGAACTCCAATATTTGGCCACTATGCAAAGTTAATGGGTGCTCATCTCATAGGGGACCTCTGGTACTTTGGTGACGAACTATATGAGTATGGTAAACTACACTTCAAAGGAGGTGTGGTTGTGGACAGTTCCCATTTGAGTGGACACTATTTTGATGGAAATGGACTGACCTTGCAAGACACCCATGTCTCTGGCATTCTGCATCCAGGATCATCTAAGAAGCGCAATTGTAGGTAATTCTGAAAACGAGACCTCAGGTCTCGTTTGGGAAGCACATCCCAACCTCTCCTTCCGAACCAAGTCCAAGGTTCCAATTAGGCAACCGGTGCTCCAGGTACCCATTGCCTCCCTTCCTTCTTGCTGATCTTGTTAATTTGGTCGTGGTGGTTGCCCATCTGGTAGCCTTTTCACCCTTTTCACCCCTTTCACCATGAGGATCTTTACGGTGATCCTCTTTTTGGTGACTCACTACTGCTCATTTGGATTAGCGTTAACAAACTAGCATTTTGATATTCCACTCTTATCCTAGTCTTATCTCGTTTTAGCTGGTTTTAGTTGAAACTTGGCCACTGCAGGTCCCTTTTGGTAGTAACGCCTCTGCGATTAAAAGCCCCTCTGTGCAGGATCTATTGTTGTTGGGAATGCATTCTCATGTTCTGACCATCCAAAAACGGATGGCGATGTGACTTCTTTTTAGTAGACAATGACTTAACGGTTGGATACACCAATGGGCACAAAGGGTAACATACCACGTACTGAAGTTTTTTCCCCTGCCAGTAGTAGAATTGTAAAGTACGTCACTTCCCAACCTGGT